GCGCCCGGGATCCGAACCGGCGAACCCCGGGCCGCCGCAGCGGAGCGTGAGCACTTAACCACTTGTGCCACCAGGCAGGCCCTAACTGGGATGTCTTTAAGACAGCTTTTTAGAAACGAACCATCCTGTACACATAGGTTGTAGAAACTTGAAATTACTGATTTAAAGCTAATTTTAGCTACGGGGACAATGTTGAACTGTTTTAGATCAGTTTTCATTATTAAAAACATTTCTTTGCTTTCAGAAATAGAACTGTGCTTTCATATATTCTTCGACAGGGAGAATAGAACTGAATCTTTAACATTTGAATTCCTATTCCCTTTGCAAGATCTCTTTCATGGAAGGGGTATGGAGATGGGGTCTGAATGGTAGTAGGTGTTAGCAGATGGGGAGCGATCCCTGAGGCACCTTGAAATGACACTGGTAGTTTCCTGGGGCAGCTGCAACAGTGACTGCTCTCCATGCTTTGCTTCAAGTGTTAAATGGCATTGGCTTCATCTCCTATCTTGGGATTCGTTACTAGAGTCATGCTTTTTTTTTTTTCTTCAAGGTCCTGGTAACTAACCCATTGTTTTTTACTATAAGTAAATTTTTTCTTTATCTGAATGTTTTCAATATTCTGACCTTTATGAGGCATATTCTAGGGGATTGCTTAGGAGTAACTGTAGTAAGCATATGTTCTATGTTTTTAGAAGGCTCTAATCTTGAACTGTATCCCCAACCTCAGAAAATTTGTTTGTTTAGAATGGAAGACTGATTTTTATGTAATTTCCTGTTCAAATAATGTGTGAGAGAAGTTATATCTGAGAGGGGAAAGTGGGGCACTTGGATTCTTAGAAATAAACAGCTAATATTTGTGGTGCTTACTATGTACTGGCATTGTTCTAATTACTTGAAGCCTCCCCAGATGCTAGTGTTTTCCAGTATCTAACACACTAGACAAATATGTACTGAACCTTGACTTCCTAGAGGGTAGAATACGTCTTTTTGTTGAGTGGAAGGAGAATAGTTCTACTTTCTGGAATCCTAACTTTGAGTAAAGCTGACATTCTCAAGACATATAAAGCACACTTCTGTTTAGGAAATACCAAAGAGAGTAGGTCTTCTCAGGTTATTTGCTTCCTTGAAATAAATATCTTGCCCTTTTAAATTTGTTCCTTAGATCGGATCTCAGAGTTAAATCACAAAGGAGGATATTAATCTAGTTCAAAACTTTTGCTTATTTCAGGCCTGGCTTTTTTGTCTCTTAAACTTGTAGGTTACATAGAAAAAAAAACAAAAAACTGTTCCTCCAGTGTTGATGTTTAGCAACAAAGCTTCCTGTTTTTAGGCAGAAACGTAAAACTTTTAATGAGAAGGAAGAGTGTCAGAAAGGATGTGCCACTGAGCCATCTATGCCTGGAGCCCTTCTTCCTGGTACGTAGTTGGTGCTTGGAAGTAGATCGCTCTCCCTGCTTCTCCCATTTGAGAATGTGCAAGCAAAATAATAGCTATTTTTGACTGTTCAGAACATTTTACAAATGGTTCTTGGCTTAAAAAAATATTAGAACTATGGCATCAGTCAATGGTGTAAATATAGGATTCTGGGGGTTAGTGTATAGTATATGTTGCAATTTTATAGTTTGGAAAGTGAGATTATAAAGTAATGTGACTAACTTTTAAAAAAAAATACACCAGGGCCGGCCCCGTGGCTTAGCGGTTGGGTGCACACTCCGCTGCTGGCGGCCTGGGTTCGGATCCCGGGCGCGCACCAACGTGCCGCTTCTCTGGCCATGCTGAGGCCGCGTCCCACATACAGCAACTGGAGGGATGTGCAGCTATGACATACAACTATCTACTGGGGCTTTGGGGGAAAAAATAAATAAATAAAATCTTAAAAAAAAAAAAAAACCAGATCTTAAGTTCTTTCATCTAGGGAGGTATTGTTCATTTATTACAGTGATACAGCTGTATAATTTTTGGAACTCTTAGAATTACCCTATGTGCCTTGGATACATTTTTGCTATTTCAGTAGTTGTACATCATGATATTTTTGAGGTTTTTTTGATTCAAATTTTGGAAACAGCCAGTAGTATTTTAGAGCCAAGTCTAATGAAGAGCATTGAGAGATTGAGATCGTCAGTACAATCTTGGGTCACCAATGAAGTGCAATTTATGAACTGCCTCTGAAGTCATTTCTAAAAGAGGAGTTAAAAAATAGTTGGACCGGGGCCAGCCCCGTGGCGTGGTGGTTAAGTGCGACGCTCTGCTGCTGGTGGCCCGGGTTCGGATCCCAGGCGCGCACCGATGCACCGCTTGTCAGGCCATGCTGTGGTGGCGTCCCACATAAAGTGGAGGAAGATTGGCCCGGATGTTAGCACAGGGCCAGCCTTCCTCAGCAAAAAGAGGAGGATTGGCTTGGATGTTAGCTCAGGGCTGATCTTCCTCACAACAACAACAAAAAATTTCGACCAAAGCAGTATTATTTAAATAAACTTACACCTCAGGTGGTGATCACTTTGAGGGATGCTGTTCATTTGGCAAGTACATCATCCCTGGATGGAGGAGGTTCTAGAACAGTGCTGTCCAATAGAACTTTCTGTGATGGTTGAAATTGTTTTACATGTTGCACTTTGGCTGTTGAGCGCTTGAAATGTGGCTGGTGTGACTGAAGAACTGAATTTTTAATTTTATTTCATTTTAAAAGAATTTAAGTTTAAACAGTGCGTGTGGCTTAGTGGCTACCTTATTGGACAGTGTAGATCTAGAATATTTAGCTTTCAGCCTAACTTACAGACTGGGGTGAGCAGTTTATGATAAGAGACCAAAAGTTATTAAGACAGAGTAGGTTGTGGAATATCTGGTCCCCCTCCCCTCCTGCTGTGTTCAGAGTAGGAGAAAAGTCTGGAATTTGTCGTTTGTGTTCAGTGGTATCTAATCTTTAGAGCTCTCCAAATTTATCCTTGCTAAGGTGTTATCCGAAGGGTTTTAAATGAGAACCTTCCTTTGTATTTACAGTTTAATCATCAACTTTTGATGCTCATGGCTCTTCTTCCCTGAAATTTAAGGCCTGCCCTGCAGCCCCCATGGGTACTGTTACCTGTACCCATGGTTGGAAGGAGTGAAGACTTGGATGCCATAAGAAAAAAGGCTGCCAACCCTTGGTTTAAATCTTTGCTTGATAATGGTGGTTAGGTTAAGATAATGGAAATGAACAAAGAAAATAAATATGGGTGTAAGGAAAAACTCTAGACATCTTTCATTTTGTAGCCATAAAATTTTGAAGTACAGCAGCCTGGGTTTGGTTCCTAGGCATGGACCTACATCACTGTTTGTCAGTGGCCATGCTGTGTTGGCAGCTCACATATAAAAAGAGGAAGATTGGCAGCAGATGTTAGCTCAGGGTGAATCTTCCTCAGCAAAAAAAAAAAAAAAAAAGAATTTTGAAGTAAAAGAAGCTCTTCATTTGAAGTGTAAGACAAGTAAAAACTGATCACAGCAAATTTCTTAGATTGAGCTCTAAGGTTCTTTAAAGTCTCCTTTCAATCTACTTTTCTTTCTTTTTTTTTTTTTTAAATAAAATTATTTTATTTTATTTTTTGTGAGGAAGACCAGCCCTGAGGTAACATCCGTGCTAATCCTCCTCTTTTTGCTGAGGAAGACCGGCTCTGAGCTAACATCTATTGCCAATCCTCCTCCTTTTTTTTTCCCCAAAGCCCCAGTAGATAGTTGTATGTCATAGCTGCACACCCTTCTAGTTGCTGTATGTCGGACGCGGCCTCAGCGTGGCCGGGGAAGCGGTGTGTCGGTGCGCGCCCGGGATCCGAACCCGGGCCGCCAGCAGCGGAGCGCGTGCACTTAACCGCTAAGCTGGGGGGCCAGCCCTCAATCTACTTTTCTAACTTGATATCTTACAAGAATCTTCTGATGTTAGCCAAATTGAGCTTCTCATTGTCTTCTTCACATGCTTGATACCTTTCCCTCTTCATCTCCTCTGAAATCTTTTCTCTCTGCCTTTTTAGAAATCCTGACTGCCAATATCTGCACAACGCTGTTACTTTTCGCTGAGCCCCGACTCGAATCCTGCCTTCCCCTCGAAGCCTTTTCTTTCTGCCCGAGTCCACTCCATCCTCCCATCTTCCCAAACACTTCCGGGTATTTCTCATAAGTTGTGTCGTATTCTCAGTTCATATATGTGGGTCTTCCCTCCCCAACTACATTATAAATTCCTCGAGCTTAGGTCTGTGTCGTATGTTTTTCTGTCACCTGTAGCAAGCACCAAGTATATAACTTTTTAAAATACTAGATACACCCCAACTGGTTTGTAGAGTCATTTAAACAATTGAGACTGTTTTTCTCTTCATTTTATTTCGTGCGCATTGTTTATAAAGTACTGTGGGGAATAAAACGATAACTGAAAGACAGTTTCTCCCCTCCTCGCATTTATAGTCTGATGGGATCTATAGACTACACACACAGCACAGTGTGCGAGGTGCCAGGAAAGAGGTACAGACTCAATCGCGTGGGAAATTGAGGGATGGACACATTTTCATTGGTGAGGATTGGAGAAGGTTTTGTGGGACGGATGAATGGATGCCTGAATTTGCCCTTGAGTAAGGTTTCAGCAGGTGAAGATAATGAGACTTGGAAAGGGCATTCAAGGCCGAGTGAACAACCTGAAACAAAAGCATAGAGGGGTGAAAGTGCCAAGGCTTCTGTAGTGGTAGTTGGGAAATTGGTCTTGTGGATGATTCACGTGCATGTAATTGAGAAAATGAACCCAGGTAACTTTTCTTATCAGTCATTTAGCAGTGGTTCTCAGACTTCAGCATCAGAATCGCCAGAAGGGCTTAAATACAGATGGCTGGGCCCACCCCTAGATTTTGTTTCAGTAGGTTTGGGGAGGGGCCCTGCTAATTTGCATTTCTAACAAGTTCCCAGGTGATGCTGCTGCTGCTGCACGTTTTGAGAACCCCTGATTAGAGCACCAGTCCATCTGATAACTGCCTCAGAGAAATGCCTGTTTTATGTGTATAAATACCCCAGTGTTAATGCATAATTGTGTTCTTGTTGCCTTATGTACAGACCAATGGTCTTCCCATAGATTGTAAATTCAGGCTTTTTATATCACTCAACCCCTAGCACGATGCTGTAACAATGGTAATACAGTAGTAAATACTGTGCTTGCTAAAACTTGGCATCTAGACCTATAAATATCTGAACTAGAGGTACATGCTTCTAGAAGCCCTTATGAAATGGGGGTTTTATTTTTTTTATTTTTATTTTTTTGTGAGGAAGATCAGCCCTGAGCTAACATCCATTGCCAAGTCTCCTTTTTTTTTTTTTTTTTTTTCTGAGGAAGACTGGCCCTGGGCTAACATCCGTGCTCATCTTCCTCTACTTTATATGGGACGCCGCCCCAGCATGGCTTGACAAGAAGTGCGTCGGTGTGCGTCTGGGATCCGGGCCTGCGAACCTGGGCCACCGAAGCGGAGTGCATGCACTTAACCGCTTGCGCCACCGGGCCAGCTCCTGAAATGGGGGTTTTTAAACCTTTGTGACTCAAAATATAAAGAAAAATTAATATAGTAGCAGTTCTCAAACTTTTTTCCTCAGGACCCCTTTACAGTCTTAAAAATTATTGAGGTCTCCAAAGAGCTTTTGTTTATGTAGGTTTTATCTATTGATATTTACCATACTAGAAAATATTTATTAATTCATCAGAAATTATAATAAACCCATTACATGTTACATACATTTTTAATGAAGAATAACTATTTTCTAAAATAAAAAATTTAATGAGAAGATGGCATTGTTTTACATTTTTGCAAATCTGTAATATCTGGCTTTAGTAGAAGACAGGTGCTTCTGCATTTAATCTGGAGTGATACGTTGTTTTGGTTGAAGTACGTGAATAAAATTGGCCTCACATAGAAGCATAGAAAAGGAAAGGAAAAAAGTATTTTAAGGGCATTTTCAGATAATTATGGATTTTCTTCTTTGATACTACTTCAAAGACTTGATAGGTTGTTGTTTCTTAAAGGTGGAATCTGAAACTATATGAATAAACTTTTATCGTTACATAAAAATCCATTGTTCTAATTTGTGCTTTGAATGAATCCTTTACCCATGAATGATTTTGTAACATTAAGCATCGTTGGTTGGAAAATATTGATTCACTGAGTTAATATCTTCCAAATATTGGCACATTTCATTATACAATATCAAAAAATTACATTTGTTAATATCAGTGATCTCATCAGAATAGTCTTTAGTATTGAGAAGCTGTCAAACTCACTGTGGAGGATGTGATTTCCAAATTTCTGATTTTCTCTGGAAAGCTTAGATTTTATCATTGTCAGCAAATAGTTGTTTCCTTGAAGCGACAGGCTTACATAGTTCATTTTCAGGAAAAGGTCTGCTGGATACCCAAGTCTAAGGAACCATAGTTAGTCATTTTTTCAAGTAAAAAGTGGTGTTCCATGAACAAAATGGATAGTTGAGCCTGCTCCTCAGTTGCACATGTGCTTTTCTTTGAGACAGTCCTGGTACAGTGGTGTATAGAAGTGCTTCACGTGTGCGTCTCATTTTGTTGCATGGAGTATTCAACGGGCGTGTATTCACGGGTTGAAGTTTAATAAAATTATTCGTTTTTCTGCTTCATCATATTATATGAAAGTGGCTTTTTTTTTTTTTCCTGCAAGTACTGGTGGCAAAAAATACAATGTTCCATTCCCTTGATACAGCACCTACAGTTTTTACCTACTGTTGCTTTTGTACCATCAGAGTAAATGTCAACATAGCAGAAAAAGGCAAATAACATCTTAGTAATATTATGAAAATAGTTTTGACTCCCTGAAAGGGTCTCAGGAGTGCGTGGACCACACTTTGAGAACCGCTGTATTATAGTAACGAAAGTCAGGGTTGGCAGGATGGCGTATCTCTGTGTCAGTCCTATCTTAGAGATCTTACCCTCAGCTTTATAAGCTCAGAAACTCATTTTTTTTTTTTTTACCTATTTACTCAGAGATTAGACTCCTGAATCATACCAACAAATTTAGAGATTTTAGTTTATAAAATATAACTTTGTGTATTTATAATGAAAGAAATGCCAAAAGACACTCTTCCCTTTGGTCACTCTTGGAAACCCAAACCATAATCTGAGCATAGAATTTTGGAGCTTTGTCTCGAATGTCCTTAATGCCGATTTTCATCCAGCTTTGCAAACTTGACTCACCCTTTTTCAATAATAGGAATGTACCTACTCCATAGGCTATATTTCTTTTCCAGAGAACCTTTTTTCAGTGTCAGTAAAATAAATATTTTCTTTTTAACTCCCTTTTTCTAGACTCCTTGGGTTATACTTCTTTTTAGTTTGGCAATACATATCACCTTCATTTTGGTGTGTTTTCATGTTAAAGAATTTTAATTTATACATATGAAATGTGTGGATGTGTGTATATGTATATAAGAATCTGCAGTTTAACAAGATCCCCAGGAGATTTGTATGCAGATAACGAACAATGAAACAAATACCTGTGTACGCCCCACCCGACTTAAGAAATTGAACATTCTGCCCAACTCAAGAAATTGACCCGTACCATTATGTTGGATTTCAGTGTTGTTTTTATAACTGATTATTACAAAACAGCATTATTTCTTGTTAGATTTTAGGTTCATTATGTTTAGGTTGCTTTCTTCGTAAATTCACCTTTTTTTAGTATACACCTCTTAATTACAGTATAGGACAGATAATTTTATACTTAACCATTCATCCTTGTACTGCTGGTTTCATCTGCTAACTGAGCCCAGTTCTTTACTCCTCCTTTCCTTCCCAAACTCTTTAACTCTGCCTTCTGTAATTCAAGTTTGTGATTATCAATCTTCTCTCTATATCACCAACCTCTTCTCTAAGGATTCTCCTTCCCTCCTTGCCTTATCTAGAACTTGGCTGGCCCCTGAAGACACCGTTTCTCCTGCAACCCTCTCAAGGTTCTACCTCAGGGCCAGGAGAGTATGGAATGGACCACGTTGTTTGATGCTTTTTTTTTTTTATAATTTTATTTATTTATTTATTTTTTCCCCCAAAGCCCCAGTAGATAGTTGTATGTCATAACTGCACATCCTTCCAGTCGCTGTACGTGGGACGCGGCCTCAGCATGGCCGGACAAGCGGTGCGTCGGTGCGCGCCCGGGATCCGAACCCCGGGCCGCCAGTAGCAGAGTGCGCGCACTTAACTGCTAAGCCACGGGGCCGGCCCGTGTTTGATGCTTTAAACTACTGCTCAGGCCTTCAAAAATGCCAGCTCCTTTGAAGCTCTACCACCTGGCATCTCTCCTGTGGCTGACACCACTGACCTCAGTCTCTTTCCTTCATTCCTTTTAACTCGGGCTTCCTTCTGGCCATCAACATCTCTTCCTCCACTCCCTTTGTTTGTAGATTCCCACGGTCCTGCCAATGATCCCTTCAGTCAGGCCTCCGAGTTCCATCCTCATAGTCAGAGCCTTCAAGCTTCTCATTCTAACCACCACCTCTTATCCATCGACCCCTTGCTGCTCAAAGGGGAGAGATGTCCTTAAAATGGCAGCATTAATGCCTAACCTGGGAGTGTTAGAAAGCAGAATCTGAGGCCCCATCCCAGACCTATTGAGTCAGAATCTGCAGTTGAACAAGATCCGGGAGATTTGTATGCACTTTTTATTTTTTTTATTTTTTTTATTTTTATTTTTATTTTTATTTTTATTTTTTTTTATTTTTTTTTTTTTAAAGATTTTATTTATTCATTTTTTCCCCCCAAAGCCCCAGTAGATAGTTGTATGTCATAGCTGCACATCCTTCTAGTTGCTGTATGTGGGACGCGGCCTCAGCATGGACGGAGAAGTGGTGCCTCGGTGCACGCCCGGGATCCGAACCCGGGCCGCCAGCATCAGAGCGCGCGCACTTAACCGCTAAGCCACGGAGCCGGCCCTATTTTTATTTTTTTTAAAGATTTTATTTATTTATTTTTTCCCCCCAAAGCCCCAGTAGATAGTTGTATGTCATAGCTGCACATCCTTCTAGTTGCTGTATGTGGGACTCGGCCTCAGGATGGACGGAGAAGTGGTGCCTCGGTGCACGCCCGGGATCCAAACCCGGGCCACCAGCATCAGAGCGCGCGCACTTAACCACCAAGCCACGGGGCCGGCCCTGTATGCACTTTTGAGTATCCAGTGTCCTCACTGTAACAGTCCTTCATCCTGTTGAGACCTCTCATCCTTTGACTTCGTCGCTTTTTCACTATCAGACCTACCCTGTCTTCCCTTCCCTCTTACCCATTTCAGATTCCCTAGCCCATGTAACTACTCCTTTAAAATCACCATCAGCTCCCCCGCTTTTCCCGTCCATTTTAATTTAATTGGCAAAATTTTGATTATGGTTGAACTTTGCTACCCACCTTTCTTGTACCTTGAGCAGAAGCTTTTTATCAGAGAAAAAATGAGAGTGGTTTCACTTTAAATTCATGACCACTAAACCTCACATGTGCTTTGGGCTGCGTGGCATTCCTACTGCGTTTTCTTAAGAAGCTCCTGGTTCTTTGCTCAAAGACAAATATTTTGTGTGTTCAACACTCTCTCAGCCTCCCAGAGGGTTCTCCCCTCCTGTTTCCCCATCGGCCAATAAGAAAACGGACGAGTGTCTTTTACATAGTAGTTTCTTAGGAAATATTTGTTGAATGAATGGATGACCATCTTGTGGGAAGGTTTCTTTCAGAGAGCTACACTATTAGGCAAAGCACTGGGTCCCAAAATTGCCACCGCTTCTTAAACTGAGTGACCTTGGGAAAGACCTCTCAGATCTTCTTTCTCTTTGTCCATGTTTGGGCATGATGATAATCGTTCACCTACCTTCGCAGTTATTTTGAGACTCAAATGAGGCACTTTTCTATTTGTGCTTTGTGAGCTCTTGGTGCTGTACATATGTAGTTCCTTTTAGAAATACTAGTACTAATGTTTTTTTGTTTTGTTTTGTTGTGGTGAGGAAGACTGGCCCTGAGTTAACATCTGTGGCAGTCTTCCTCTATTTTGTATATGGGATGCCGCCACAGCCTGGCTTGATGAGCGGTATGTAGGTCTGGACCCAGGATCTGAACCCGGGAACCTCGGGCTGCCAAAGCGGAGCAAACACACGCAACCACTACACCACTGGGCCGTCCTCTAATGTTTTTAATCGTGGTGTGTGGTCTCTCCCAAGTCTGAATGTTAGATTTAGTGGAAAGAACTTGGTCTGTGGAATCACGTTTGTGTTCACATCTCTGCTTCTTAGCCAGATGACCTTAGGCGGCAGGTCGTTAACAAATGTGTTAATTTCTGATGTGTTCCTTGACTTAAGAACAAATATTAATAGTAGCTAATCCATAGTATTAAAAGGCTCAAGTGGGATAATAATATGCATAAAAATTATTTCTAAATTATAACATTCTGTGTGTTATGGTCCTTACATTTTGAGAGAGTGGGGAAGAAGGGTAGTTTGTCTTATTTTAGGTCCAAAACTCCTGATTCAGTGAGTACAAGCATCAAAAACTCAAATATACTCAGTGAGGCAAGAACATCTTTTTTTCCTTTGCATGTGTTTTGGAATTGATTAGTTTCAACGTGACGTTCACTGACCTTGAAACATGATGCAGAAATGTTGCTTCTTGGTCATTACACTTTGTGGGTAACCATGACCAAGACTTGGATCTTTAGTTTCTCAGTGAATTGATTTTTTAGAGCAAGCCTGCAATGCCATTCATTAATAATGCATGAAGAAGAATCTTAAATTGGAAGATCTAAAAAACTAATGTGTTATTTCTCCTAATTCTTTTATTGAGACAGACTAGACTTTTCTCCTTCATTAATCTTGGTCATAGTTCCCTGCTTTGGCATTCAAGTAACTGAGATGGACCGAGAGCCAGAGGCATGAAGATTAGACAACAGAAGTCATAGATTTTGAGTTTATGACCATTCTTATGTTCCTAATAACCACTTGCCTCTGTTTCTTAGGCTGAGGCTTTTTAGATGGTCAGATTTTTGTGAGCTTATGCTGTTGAGCTGCAAGGTTTGAAACTGGCTGAGGCTTGCCTAGTTGCTTATTGTGGTAGTTTTCAAAATTTCTCTTTAGGGAGGAGTGCTTGACCTGAGCCCAAGAATTCACTGTTTTGCCTGAGTGAAATTTTTTAAGGAATACTTCGTCCTCTGTTCTTGCCACCCTAATAGCTTTTCTAGGACTATCGTGCCTCCTGTGTCTGTTCCCTTCTTACCTACCTGACCCTTGTCACCTTATGATGTTGGACCGGGGTGAAGAGTAGGCAAGACGTTACAAGGCGCCACAGTAATTTCTGCACTTGGCCTATCCCCATCCTCAAAATTTTTGGACATGTAAATAGCCTTTCTCAGCTGAATCTAGAGGGGCTCAGCCAATCCAGTCCCTTCTATCTCTTTAAGGCAGTAACGAGCAAGTGATTTTGCTTGCAATTTACAGGGTATATATGGTGAGGGTCTGACAGTAAAGCAAGTGGTTTCAAAGCTGACTCTGGATCAGAACCACCTGAGCTGGCACACAGACTCCGATATCCACTGCCACCATCATGGCAGTGATAATGATGGTGGTGACAGTAAGGAGTATATTAATAGTCAGGATTGGCAACCACTGTCTTCAAGTAATCAGCAGTTCTTTCTCTGTTAATCAGAATCTTCCGCTAAACCACACAATTTACCTCTGACATTTTTTATTTATTTATTTATTTATTTTCCCCCCAAAGCCCCAGTAGATAGTTGTATGTCATAGCTGCACATCCTTCTAGTTGCTGTATGTGGGACGCGGCCTCAGCATGGTGGGAGAAGCAGTGAGTCGGTGCGCGCCCGGGATCCGAACCTGGGCTGCCAGCAGCGGAGCGCACGCACTTAACCGCTAAGCCACAGGGCCGGCCCTACCTTTGACATTTTTTTAAGCACCTTGTTTAAAAGGTGCTTGGACCCTCTTAAGAAGCATGGGAAGTCTGCAGAGTGAGATTTAATGAGACAGCTGTCTTGGTTTGATTTCCATTCAGTCTTACTATCTTTAAATAGAAAAACTTACATGGCTGTATTCATTTCCTAGGGCTGCTGTGACAAATTATCACGAACTGGGTGGCTTAAAACAACAGAAATTTGTTCTCTCACAGTTCTGGAGGCCAGAGGTCCAAAATCAAGATGCCAATGGGATTGGTTGTTTCTGGAGCTCTGAGAGAGAATCCATCTCATGCTTCTTTCCTAGCTTTTAGTGGCTGCTGGCCTTCCTCGGCTTTAGACACATCACTGCAGCCTCTGCCTCCATCTTGACATGGCCTCTCCTCTGTGTGTTCTCCTCTTCTAATAAGGACACTTGTCACTGGATTTAGGGCCCACCCAGGTAATCCAGGATGATCTCATCTCAAGATCCTTAACTGATTTACATCTGCAAAGATTCTTCTTCCAAATAAGGGCACATTCATAGGTTCCAGGTGGATATATCTTTTGGGGAGGCCACTGATCAACCCACTACAGGGACCATAGCAGGCTCCTCTGTCAGTCCTGGCCATATTGTTTGCTGATGCTTGGCATTGCTCGTAAGAGAGGGTGAGGGAGTGAGGTCTGTGCTTCATCATCCAGGCTCTACTAGCGAAGAAAAATGCAAAATGCGGTCATTTGAGAGAGTCGGTAAATAGCAGCATTTTTCTCTTTGATTGAATTGTTCTGTTTTTAGGTATTATGTCTAGAAATATTTTCCCATATCCTGAAATTCCAAGGTCTTCCTCCTCTCTTAAAAAGAATATGATGAGATACTGTTTTGCCTGAGCCCAAAGGTTATAGATTCATACCTGATCTTGAGTAAATCAGAAGTTTATTGTGTTTCTGTAGACAGAACAAAGATAATTTTCTTGCAGTACTTCTCAGATATGGCTTTTTCTTAGAGAGTTTGAGCCCTTCTCTAGTTTAACATATACATGGTTTTGTATTGAGTCTTGCAGAATTCTGTGGATTTAAAAAAAAATGTTAATATAGGCTTGTGGTCATAAAATTTAAGCAATATAGAAGTGTATGAAGTAAAAACTGAAAACTCCCTTCTCCTCCCATTAAATTAGGTGCACATTTTTCCTGGACCCTCTTCTATGGATTGTGTGGTTTTTAGGCACTGTACAGAGCTGGTATTATTAGATACTGTAAAGGAAACTGAATATATTGCAAGCCTTAGCTACTTGTCTTTAGAATAGTAAATTGCTTTTAAGTCCATTTCGGCAGCATCTTCATGTTTTTAGTATCTAGAGTTTTCTAAGTACCTAGGTTCAATGTGGAGATGGTTTACTATCATATATAAGGAAAAATTGGGACTCTGAAAGCTGGTTTAATAATAACTGTTGTTTCTACTTTCTTTCTCTTGTAGATTCTAAACTCTTTTTTATATTTTTCTCTTTGCAGATTTAACCCAGAGACTGACTTCACCATAGAAGCACCCACAGTTGTATCAATGGTTGGGGAAAGATAGTGGCAACAGGCAAAGGAAATAGCTCTGACATACTGAGACAATGAGTTTGCTGAAACCAAGTGGGCTTAAGGCCCCTACCAAGATCCTTAAGCCCGGGAGCACAGCCTTGAAGACACCTGCTGCTGGTAACACTTTGTGTTTTTTGTTAATAGCAAATAAATTATAATCCTATATGAAGACTTTAAACTGAAAACTTTAAACAGACCATCTTAAAAAAACTTCATAGTCTTGAAAATATTTGGAAAAGTTTTAGTTAAAAGACATAACTTTTTACATTTAGAACTCTTAAGAAGTGTTTACTATTTTTGTGGTTATCTTTTTTTATTAAACTTAGTTGATTTAGTGTAAGATGCTCAAATAATTCTCAAGTTAAATAACTTCAATGTTTGATCCTTACAGTGTTAAGGTATTTCTTTTGTTTTTTTTTCCCCAGGTGTTTTCCTGAACTCATCAGGACCTTTCTCCTTGGGGTTTAGGGATATGTAGAGAACAAAAGACTAGTCTGGCTTAAAAAAATTTATTGACACTAATTGACCCCAAGTTAGCCATTGGCATCAAGGGAGCAGGCAGTACAATGGCTCAAGTCTGGCTCATGAGGGAAACGTTCCCCGTTTTATAGATGAACCCAGGGCCTTCATTATCTTCAGCAACCTATTTGTCTTCCATTCTCCATCTCTTTCCCAACAGTACTTGGTACACACTAGATGTTTTTAAAGAGTAAAGCAGCTTATTAATACTAAAACTTACATGCTTAAAAGGAAATAATTTTCAAAGAATTTGAGGCATTTTTATAAAGATTGATTTTCAGAAATTCATGCTTAGAGCATCCTGTGAAGAAGAATTGTTGATGTACAGTTAGAACAGACTCTAGGGCCGGCCCCGTGGCTTAGCGGTTGAGTGCGTGCTCTCCGCTGCCGGCGGCCTGGGTTCGGATCCCGGGTGCGCACCGAGGCACCGCTCCTCCGGCCATGCTGAGGCCGCGTCCCACATACAGCAACTGGAAGGATGTGCAGCTATGACAGACAACTATGTACTGGGGCTTTGGGGGAAAAATAAATAAATAAAATCTTTAAAAAAAAAAAAAAAAAAAAGAACAGACTCTAAAAAACCAACCCGGGGGCCGGCCCAGTGGTGCAAGCGGTTAAGTGTGCACGCTCCGCTTCGGCAGCCTGGGGTTCGCAGGTTCGGATCCCAGGCATGCACCAATGCATCGCTTGTTAAGCCGTGCTGTGCCAGCGTCCCATATAAAGTAGAAGAAGGTGGGCACGGATGTTAGCCCAGGGCCAATCTTCCTCAAGTAAAAAAGGGGAGGATTGACATTGGATGTTAGCTCAGGGCTAGTCCTCCTCACAAAAAAAAAAAAAAACCCAACTGGGCTGGCCCCTGTCCTTGGCAGTTTATTATCTGTTCTGAGAGTATTTACTCTCTTCTAAAAACGAAACAAAAAACCTCCACATGTGGAAACTCCACAGTCTCCCTTTCTGTTTAGGGTAAAGAGATGTACAGCACCTGCTCTAGGCTGGCCAGACCACTCTGCTTCCCAATCTTTACATGATTGGCTTTGTTGATCAGGCCTCAGGCCAGAGCAGTGTCACCTCCTCCAAGAGGCCTTCCCTGACTGCTCTGCCCAAAGGCACTGTCTCTTCCACGGCACTTAGAACCCCTGAAATTACCTGGTCTGTCTCTTGACTGTCTGTCTCCCCACCTTTAGACTCTGAGCTCTATGAGGGTACAGATTGTGTTGTCCTGCTTTGTCCCCAGCAAAGAACAATGCCTGGGACTAGTCCCTGAGGGGTAGGAGCTCAGAAAACATGTGCAGCATAAATAAATACACTGTCTCATTTACTCCTCATTTAAAAAACCCTCAAGATAGATATTACTTTCCCCTTACAGATGAAGGAATTATACTCAGAGAGGTTGTGTAACATCCTAAGATCACGATATGCCTAGTAAATGGTAGAGTGACTAAGAATGTGGGCTTTCTTTGCCAATTCACACTAAATGTTTAATAATTGCTTGCTGGATGAATGCATTTCCACTGTGAATGTCAGATTTCTGGCAAAATTTAACTCTGTGTTTACCGTAGGGTAGAGATTACACAAAGTTGTCTTGCCTCAAAGAGTTTGACCAGATGCTATCTTTTTTTCCTTGCTGTGATTTCCATCTCTGCTGGCGAAGCAATAGAGTTTATTTGGTAGTCTTGGGATAACGATGGTAGGGACTGCAGCACTGAATCCCCTCCTCCATCAAATCTAATTGTGACTCTGTGGTTGAGTGGTCCTAGTCTCGTCAGCTTTAAATGACCACTCAAATGTGGGAATAGAGCCCATCTCAGTGGATCTGAATGGGTATTTGCTCATGATGTGCAAGGTGGGAGGTGGAGTAAAGAATGAAATCAGACTTATATTATGAACTCTGAGAAAAGGACTAGTTTTTTTCTTGTTTTGACTTCTTCCAATCTTAATTGCAAATAAGGGTTAATCTCACTAGCTCGTGGAGTTTCAACAGCGTTGAAAATGGTAGTGATGGATCAAATACTTTTTGCCTCCTTGCTAAAAAAAAAAAGAGAAGAAAGAAAAACAGAACACCTCTAGATGAGTTTTTGCTACTCCTGTTGTTTTTGGCTTTCTCTATTTTATTTTCCTTTAAGTTAGGTGTTGTCTGCTTAAATATGAAATTGAATCTTTTATGATCCTTTCTTCTGTTTTCAGTTGCAGCTCCAGTAGAAAAAATAATATCCAGTGAAAAAGCATCAAGCACTCCGTCCTCTGAGACACAAGAGGAGTTTGTGGATGACTTTCGAGTTGGGGAGCGAGTTTGGGTGAACGGAAATAAGCCTGGATTTATCCAATTCCTGGGAGAAACTCAGTTTGCACCAGGACAGTGGGCTGGGATTGTTTTAGATGAACCTATAGGCAAGAATGATGGTTCAGTGGCAGGAGTTCGATATTTCCAGTGTGAGCCTTTAAAGGGCATATTCACTCGACCTTCAAAGTTGACGAGGAAGGTGCAGGCAGAAGATGAAGCTAATGGCCTGCAGACGACTCATGCTTCCAGAGCGACTTCGCCTTTGTCCACTTCTGCAGCCAGCATGGTGTCCTCCACCCCAGCCACCCCCTCAAATATTCCCCATAAATCATCCCAGCCAACAGCAAAGGAAGCTGCAGCTACATCTCAGATCAGCAACCTTACAAAAACTGCCAGTGAATCTGTCTCCAACCTTTCAGAGGCTGGCTCAATCAAGAAAGGAGAAAGAGAGCTCAAAATTGGAGACAGAGTACTGGTGAGTCCAGAAACAGAACTAAGGTCATTGTGCTGAACTCTGAGATATAATCACTGATGAGTGGTTGAAATACCTACAGGCTCAGAGTCTGTTCTGGAGGGGTGACCACTCACTTATAGAGCAATTAATGAGTTTTTCTAGTTGTTCAGTCTATGTGTAAGCGTGCAACAAATTGGAACCTGGCTATGTAGTTTGAGCGTAGGTTTGCAGTGATCAACTCTAGTTTTATCTACCAGTTTAGCCAAAATAATATTGAGTTTATAACTTGTAAATGTTAAATAAGGTAACTTTACTTGACAAAACAAGCTCAGAAGTGGACTCTGATGTACTTATAAAAGTTTTTTTTTCTGGTTTTTAACTTTTGCTTTAAGGATAGTGTGTAAGTATATATGAGATCCTGCTTCCTTAAATGTCTTGGAAAACTCAGACATCACAGAATGTAATTTCAGAATTTCTCTGCCTTTTAAATTATCAGGTTTAGATCTAGGAAGAGAAAGGAAATGTATAGTAGTTTTACTACTAAGCAGGAAACACAGTGTATAAGGTCTACATGCTATACATTCTAGAACCCCTGAATTTATGACACAGTGATTGATTTGTTCTTGTTTTGTTTGTTTTAAATGAGATGCAGTGTAACAGTGCTAAAAACAAATGCTGAGTCCCAACTTTGCCTTTGTGACCTCGGCAAGTTATTTAACTTCTTAGTTTCCTCATTTGTAAAAATGAGGTGACTAATAGTACTAACCTCATAGCGTTGTTGTGAGGATTAAGTTAGATAATGCATATATAATTCTTAGCAGTGCGTGGTACATAGCAGACACTCAAGAAATGGTAACTATTTTTCTCACTGATGAAAATTTAAAACTTGACTATTTCACTCTTTCAACACTTTAGACAGTTCAGTTCCAGGCATGAAGTTTGTCGGAAATCTTTAACCCTGTGCTCTTTCAGTTTCCTTGTATCTGTTCAACAGCTGTAAAGTTCCATTGGGCCTGGAGGCTTCCAGTAATGTAACAGGAAAACAGGAATAGCTGTTAGCCGTGAGAGTGTACCATATGTCTCATTTAACGTTTCAACAATGTTACGGGGAAGCCCCCATAGAACTGATAAGGAAAAAGGCTCTAAGAAGTGAAATCACTTGCCCAAGTTTTACAACCTGAAGAGTGGTGTATCTGCAGTTTAAATTTAGGTATTTTTACTCCAGAGCCTGTTGTGTAGAGATGATGACTGATAGTATAATTTTAAATTTGAAGTATTCTGTATGATTTTGTTATCTTACAAATAAGGAAACTTAAGCCCAGAGAAATGAAGTGACTACCTACTGTCAATATAATTAAGTTCATGCAGATTTTCTGTCTCCAGTCCCATAGCATCATGAATCCAGGAGGCCCCACATAGCTGTGGGAGCCCTTTTTTTTTTTTTTAAAGATTTTATTTATTTATTTTTTCCCCCCAAATCCCCAGTAGATAGTTGTATGTTATAGCTGCACATCCTTCTAGTTGCTGTATGTGGGACGCGCCCTCAGCATGGCCGGAGAAGCGGTGCGTTGGTGCGTGCCCGGGATCCGAACCCGGGCCGCCAGCAGCGGAACACACGCACTTAACCACTAAGCCACGGGGCCGGCCCTGTGGGAGCCCTTTAATACCTGTTACTTTCAAGGGGTTTCTTCTAGATTCCTTAGTTTCAAGGTCAGTAGGTTCTCTCTTCCAACTACAATAATCATGAATTTCAAAGTTTGATGCTTCAGAACTTGAGCATTCTTTATTTTTCTTTTTGCTGAGGAAGATTCACCCGGAGCTAACATCTGTGCTCATCTTCCTCTATTTTGTGTGTGGGTTGCTGCCACAGCATGGCCACCGATGAGTGGTGTAGGTCCGCGCCCGGGATCCGAACCCTAGCCACCGAAGTGGAGCATGCCGAACTTAACCACTAGGCCATAGGGCCAGCCCCTTAGAGCATTCTTAAGACAGCATTTCAGTGCTATGCTGCTCAACTTGTATCTTGTTTGTTTAGCTAATGCCCCCTTGCTATACCAATTTTGAATTTGACACAACTGCTCTTCTGTTGCCACAAAGGTTTTTTGATGCTTCCTTTTTTTATTTTAGCTGTATAGATATTGCTGCTGTGAATGCAATTTAAAAATTTTTGTGTGTGTATCTCTTAGTTCATAGGATGTATTCATAGCTAGCGGTGGAATTACTAGGTCAAAGGGTATATTTTTAAGGAGTACGGTACATACTTATCTAGTGAGCTTTGGTTAAATCAGAAACATGTTACCTTAGCACAACACTGCTACACTACACTGCTTTCCTTTGTAGATTAGCTTGCAGATTATACACAATGCCATTCTTTTTTTTTTTTTTCAATTATTTTATTGAGGTCTTATTAGTTTATAACATTGTGTAATTGCAGGTGTACATTATTATATATTAGTTTCTGTATAGACTGCATTGTGCTTGCTGCCAATAGTCTAGTTTTTGTCTGTCACCATACATATGTCTGCCTTTACCCCTTTCACCCAGGCCCACCCCTTTCCCCTCTGGTAACCACTAATCTGTTCTCTTTATCCATATGTTTGTCTTCTACATATGAGTGAAATCATGCGGTGTTTGCCTTTCTCGGGCTGGGTTATTTTGCTTATCATAATACCTTCAAGTTCCATCCATGTTATTGCAAATGGGATGGTTTTGTCTTTTTGAGTAGCTGAGTAGTATTCCCTTGTATATATATACCACATCTTCTTGGTCTGTTCATCAGTTGATGGGCACTTGGATTGCTTCCACACCTCTCGGCTATTGTGAATAATGCCGCAATGAACGTAGGGGTGCGTAAATCTCTTTGAATTGTTGATTTCATGTTCTTTGGATACAGTGCCATTCTAAGTGCTTATCTAGAAATGGCTTCTTTCTTTCCCATTCAAGAAAGCACATGGCGCACTTTCAAAACAAGAAGCTTTTCCTTCCCACCAACCAGTGATAAAAAATTGATTAAAATTTAAAAAATTAAAATTAAAACTAGTCAGATGTGCTGCTTGGCTGCTAAAACAGACAAAATGACAAGGTCAGCATAGTTTAACTCATAACAAAAGGTTTCCCTGAGGATGTCATGACTAAAGTGGACCTGAGAATAGGAATTGGCTAAGCAGAAGGAAGTGGTAGTGGTGAGAGGGAAGTTCTAGCCTTCTAGCTGAGGGAACAGCAAACTCCCTGAGATGGGAGGAGTTGGCACGTCTGAGGAAGAGGCCAGTGTCCTTCCCCAGGCGCTGTGAGCGAGTGGTAGGAGATGAGACTCGTTAACTAGGTGGGATCTACAGAGACTGGTGACATAGGGCCTATTAGGATAGGTCGTGTTAAGGATTTTGATTTTGACCTTGAGAGAAACGAGAGTGATAAGTGATGTGATTAGGTTTATAGTTTGGAAAGCTCTCACTGGCTGCTTTGTAAAGAATGGATTGGAGGTGGTTGAGAATGGATTTGGGGTGACCATTCTTTGAAGAAGTTGGGTATTGAAGGAAAGTAGAGTGGTCAGGCTGGTGCTGGAGGAGTAGTGTATCTAGGGAAGATGTTTTTCTAAAGATGGCAGAGTCCAGAGTATTTATATCCTGATTGAAATGATCTAGACTAGAGGAACAGGTTGAAGATGCAGTAGAGAGAGGGGATCAGTGATGGAATGAGGTTCCTGGGGAGCTGGGAAGAGGAGGCACCCTGGGCACACACAGAGGTTGATTGGCCTTTGATTGAGGGAGGGAGACTTCCTCCGTTTTTATAGGAAGGAAGGAGAATCTGCAGATGCATGTTGGTTTGTGGAGGTTTAATGGCATATTTCGAGGAAAATTTTTTTTATATAATTGTATTTATTTATTTTTTTCCCCCAAAGCCCCAGTAGATAGTTGTATGTCATAGCTGCACATCCTTCTAGTTGCTGTATGTGGGA